CAGTCTGTGGAGCCATGCTCCAGACAGATGACGGTCACGACCTGTGTCCTGCCTGCCTTGGACATGACCATCTGGTGGATGCCCTGTCAGAGAACCCCTGCATGAATTGCAGCTTCATGTCGCATGCTGTGAGGGTGGCCCGGCTGGCCCAGTTTCGTCCCAAACTCAGCGATGACCTCCCGCCTTCTGGGCAGGAGGCTCCACCTAGGCGCTCGAAGCGCCGGACTGAGGCCGCAATCTCTGTGGCCCCTCCTGGGAAGAAGCGAGCCAGGTCTGATAGGGGCCTCTCCACAAGGGTGGAGCAGCTCTCCGCTGAATTCGCGGAGATGAAGTCCCTTTTTCAGGTACGCCAACTGGGAACTGAACCAGTGGCAGCAACTGGACTCTCCTCCCCACCCATGCCTGAACCGGCTGTGGAGGAAGATGTGCTATCCTTGGCTGCCTCTGCCTCTCACTTTTTAGGTGAGGACGACGGGCATTCATCGCGAGTCTCAGAGACAGCTTCACTCTCTTCTTCTCGGAGTGCAGTTAGTGGGTCGGGTGACGGCTCGATGCAGGACGTCATGCGTATGGCCCTGAGACAACTGCAGCTGGACGTCCCACAACCAGAGGCGTCCACCCCTGGAAGTGCCTTCTTCAGGCGCGGACTGACCCCTCCTTCCTTTTCTGTCCCTCCATCAGAGGAGTTCCTGAGGGAGTTGCACGGTTGCTGGCGGGACCCCAAAGCCTTTGCGCGCCTCTCTGCAGATGGCAGAGTGTTGGCGGCCATGCATGAGCCGGCTGCAGCAGGCTTGGATCGCATGCCAGCGATAGAACCTGCTGTTGCCTCTCTCATCGTGTCACCAGAAGAAGCTCTGCGCAGTCATGTTCGGTGCCCACGAGCTCAGTGTCGTGTCACGGATGAATTCCTCTGCAGAGCCTATGCCGCCGGAGCGCGTGCTGGCCGCCTAGGTAATTCCTTGGCACACCTAATGCTTGCCCTCTCCGCGTCCCTTCAGGGGACTAGTGGTGCGACAGCAGCAATGGGCTTTAACGATGCAGCGCTTCAGGCCTTTGCACTAATGACGGAGGAGCTTGGGTGTGTGATGTCCTCCTTGGTCCAAGCTCGCCGACAGGTCTGGTTGGCGCAGTCAGCATTGACTGAGCCATGCCATAGAGCCCTCCGTAATGTCCCAGTGGTGCCGGGGGAGTTGTTCGGTTCGGCTGCCTTGGAAGCACTGGAATGGACTGTCCAGGCACGACAGAGAAGGCAGCAATTTTTGAGCCTTAGCAGGCCAATGCCCCCTCCACCTCCTCGGCATCCAAGGCGCTTGTCGGCTAGCTCCAGCATGCAGCCACCACCTGGGGGTCATAACCGGCCGGGTGGTCCTTACCCTCATGCGGTTCAGCAAAGGCCCAGCAGGAGCTTTTGTGGGTCGGTCCACCGACCAGCTGGGCAGGCTCGGACCAGGGACTCTGGCTGCCGCCGAGACGGTGATGCCATCAGGCCGACCGTCGGATATTTCTCCCACCAGCAGCTCAGCTATTGGGTTGCTCACGCCGTGGACCCATGGGTGGTTGCCACTCTGACCCATGGTTACCGGCTACAGTTCCGACGGCGGCCTCGTATCTCATGCCGGGTCAAGATGACTGTAATCGCCGACCCGGTGAAAGCTCAAGCACTAGACCAGGAACTTTCCGCCCTCCTGGCCAAGGGCGCAATAGAGGCAGTGGACCCTCTGCAACAACCCAGGGGCTATTACTCGACTTACTTCCTTGTGCAAAAGAGAACGGGCGGGTTTTGTCCCATTTTAGACCTGAGGGGACTCAACCAGTACCTAAAGGAGCTGCCCTTCCACATGCTCACAACAGCAGAAGTCCTTCAAGCTGTCACGAGGGAAGAATGGTTCACGTCTGTAGACCTGAAGGATGCATATTTTCATGTGCCTATTGCGGCAGAACATCGCAGCTTTCTCAGGTTTGCCTATCGGGGTCACCACTGGCAGTTCCGGGTACTCTCATTCGGGCTTTCTCTTTCCCCAAGGGTGTTCACTCGGTGCGTGAAGGCAGCCCTCTCTCCTCTGCAGGTCTGCGGAGTGAAGATTCTGCCGTACTTAGACGATTGGCTTCTCTGCGCCCCGTCTCAGGCCTGTGCCTTTCACGACACAAACCGCCTGCTCGCTCATATGTCCAAGTTGGTCCTCAATGTCAACCTGGAGAAGAGCTGCCTGATCCCTTCCCAGACGACCACCTTTCTTGGGGTGGTTCTGGATTCATCTTCCATGAGAGCTCGCCCATCCGCTCAAAAGGTGGCCGACATACTCCAGCTGGTCAATCGGTTCAGGCTGGGCAGGCAGCTCCCCTATGTTGCCTTCCTGCAACTACTCGGCAAGCTGACATCAGTCACTCGGGTGGTGCCCTTAGGCCTGCTGTCACTTCGCCCCTTGCAGAGGTGGCTCAACAGCTTTCGCCTGGATGCCAGGCTGCACAGGCATCGCAAGCTCGCAGTGACGTGGTCATGTCTTCATGCCTTGACTCCATGGAGGGACGAAGATTATTTGTCCAGGGGTGTCCCCATGGGAGTGGTAGTGTGTCGCAGGGAAGTGGTCACGACAGATGCCAGCTCCATGGGATGGGGGGCTGTATGGCAACGCAGAGCGGTTCAGGGCCGCTGGGGTCAAAGAGACCATTCCAAGCATATAAATGTGCTGGAGCTGCGTGCAGTGCACTTGGCACTCAGGCACTTCCTGCCTCACCTGGAAAGGAGGCATGTACTTGTTCGGTCAGACAACACCTCTGTTGTCTACTACATCAACCATCAGGGGGGCACCAGGTCAGCACAACTTCTGAGAGTGTCCAGAGAGCTCCTGGAATGGGCCTCTCCTCGCCTGTCCACCCTGCGGGCAGCGTACTTGCCAGGGCGACACAATCAGGTCGCAGATTTTCTCTCCCGCCAAGAGTCCCCTCCGGGAGAGTGGTCCCTCCACAGAGACATAGTGCTGATGATCTGGGACCGTTTTGGTCAGGCAGAGATAGACCTGTTTGCGACGGAAGAGTCAACTCAGTGTCCCCTATGGTACTCTCTTACGGGGGCGTCGGGTGCGCTAGGCCAGGACGCATTGGCTCATCCTTGGCCAAGGGTCCTTCTATATGCCTTTCCACCCCTTTCTCTAATTTGGCCAACCCTTCAGAGAGTCCTCGAGGAGGGCCACAGGATGCTGCTGGTAGCTCCGTATTGGCCAGCGCGACCATGGTTCCCACTGCTACGAAGTCTATGTCAGGGCGTCCCATGGTGTCTTCCGACCAGAAGGGACTTGCTGTCTCAGTTGGGGGGACTGATATGGCACCCCAATCCTCAACGTCTTCGGCTGTGGGTGTGGCCACTGCAAGGCTAGGACAGCAGCTGACTGGAGTTTCGAGCCTCGTCAGACGCACCATCTTGGGCGCCAGGGCACCTTCTACTCGTCAGCAGTACGAAAACAGGTGGCGCCTGTTTTCCCAATGGTGTTCTGATCACAACAAGGATCCAGTCTCCTGTACAATACCCACCATTCTGGAGTTTCTCCAGTCTCTACTTGGTAAGGGTCGCTGTCCTTCGACGCTTAAAGTTTATGTAGCAGCAATATCATCTAATCACGCTGGCATTGATGGCTGTACGGTAGGGAGCCATAATCTAGTCTCTTTCTGCGTGGTGCCCGTAGGTCACACCCGCCGACAGCTCCACGAGCACCAGGTTGGGACCTTCCTTTGGTTCTCGAAGCTCTGTGCCGTCCTCCTTTCGAGCCTCTGTCGCAGGCGGATCTCAAGTGGCTTTCATGCAAGACGGCTTTTTTGTTTGCTATTACCTCAGCAAAGAGGGTCAGCGAGCTACATGCTCTCTCAATCAGCCCCTCATGTCTCAGGTGGGGCCCTGAGGGCTCGTGTGTTACCTTGTGGCCAAACATTGCATTCGTACCAAAGGTGTTATCTCACTCTAACCAACCGTTGAGGCTGGCACGTTTTCAGCCTGCGCCTGGTGAGGGGTCTGCATTATTGTGCCCGGTGAGGGCACTGGAGGCATACGTTGCAGCTACTGCCGTGATAAGACATTCAGACCAGCTGTTTGTGTGTTATGGAGGCCCTAGGTTAGGCTGTCCTCTTTCCAAACAGCGCCTCTCCCACTGGATCGTGGACATCATCTGCCACGCCTATGCTGCAGGGCCCGGCCCCCTGCCGGTCGGCTTGAAGGCTCACTCTACCAGGAGCGTCTCCGCTTCCTGGGCTGCCCTGAGAGGGGTTCCGCTGGAAGCAATATGTGCTGCTGCATCATGGGCTTCCCCAAGCACGTTCAACAGATTTTATAGAGTTAACGTGGCCACCCCTCATCCCCTGGGCCAGGTTCTTCTATAAGGGTCCTTTGGGCCTCCTCAGTGAGGTAGGTGTTTAGGATTCCTTGTGACATCGTTGGTATTAGTCATTTAGTGCTTTCAGCACCGCCCTCTGGCGGTCAGGAGGGATGAAATAGAACGAAAGTTACTTATGTAACTACGGTTCTATGAATCCCGGATGACCGCCAGAGCTTCTCCGTCACTCAGAATCCTTGCGTTCCGCGAGAAGATTCTGTAGGAGCAGAGCAGCGGATGACGTCGGGCTATATACTATATAGCCCGACGGCTATATTTTACCTTCTTTTATTCTCGCTGTGTTTTTTAATTTGCACTGATGTATTGTGTCCTGTTTTTAATCTTGTTTTGTCTTGTGAAGCACCTTGGTCAATGCAAGGCGTTGTTGGAAGGTGCTATAGAAATAAAGTTTATTATTATTATTATTATATAGCCTCTGATTGGTCATCCGTGTCACACCTGTGACTCCGTTGGTATTATTACTCGAATCAGCGCATGCGCGAAGGGAACATTCAGTGCTTTCAGCACCGCCCTCTGGCGGTCATCCGGGATTCATAGAACCGTAGTTACATAAGTAACTTTCGTTTCCACTGGTAACAGTTTCTTCAGCACCATCTCACTTCATTATTGACCACTTACTTCTTTTTCCTGGTTCTCAAGTGCTTCTAGCTCCTTTTTTGACCTCTTGATCTTGAGGTGGATCTCCATATTTTGCTGTTTGGACAACAAAACAAATATTAGATACATTATTTAATTGTACCAACAATTTTTAGATAAGTTAAAGTCTTGTACTTTATGTAGATCCGAGAGCTGCTGGTGGCGGATCAGAGCATCTTTGTTAGGGAACTGTCTCCTGCACAACAAGCAGGCCATTTTCTTCCAGTCTGTCAGTTTGTCCTCCTTCTCCTTGGGCTGGCTCTTCGGACTGTTTTTAGCTGCCTCCTCCTTTTCTTCTTCCACCTCTTCATCGCTCCCAGCTCCATAGTCTGACGCCAGCAGACCCAAAGAGCCCATGGATTGCTGAGAAACAAAGCAGATAAATGTTAAGTAATAATAATTTAATCGACATATACAGCAATTTGGAAAAGAGTTCAGTAGGAATGTTTCTTACTTTTGATTTATCTTCTTTCTTGGAAAGACTGAGGGGTTTCTTAAAAAGCCCATCACCACCTGAGGCCTATAAAAAAACACAGGGAAGAAAAGTGTTAAACTTATTATTGGCATTCATGGTTTGAGAGTGATTACGAATGCTTATTACAGCAATTCTCTGACCTTCCGCTCAAATATAGCAAAAGCAGCATCGGCCGACTTCGACTTTTGTCTTTTTTCAGCCTCTGTTTCAGGCTTCAGGACCGGAGAAGATGCACGCACACAGTCCTTCTGACGATTCTGTATCTTTGCCCAGCGCTCCATATCTTTCATTATCTGCAAACAGCAACAAGATAATCCAAACTTTTTCAGATCTGTGCGTTTTATTTGGAGATAAATGAGTTTAGAAGTGCTACCTTGACAGCAGCTGGACTTTTTGCCTTGTCCTCTTTGCCATCCTTCTCTTTGTCTCTTTTAGGAAGCTCGTCCTCTTCCTTGTTGTCAGAAGCCGCTGTGGGAGCTGGGATGGATTCTGCAGAGCTGTCGGATGAAACAGCTGCCGGAGCCGGAGCTGCAGCTGCTGATGACTGGGGTGGCTTCTTCAATTCTAGAGGAGCATCTGCTGCTGGATTGGAAAGAATGGCCTGGTCTTTTGGAGTCATCACCGGCTGTTGGTTTTCTGCAGAGTTCCCTTCTGGAACTGGAATGTAGGTTTTCAACGTTGCATCCCAGTACAAGTACTCCTGGGTTTGCGAGTTGTAAAAATACTAAACAGTAAAAAAAAAAAACAATAATTAGAAAAAGAACAGCAATGTCAATTAAAAATAAAACGACTCAAAGCATACTACTAAACACTCACAAAGATATTATTTTGGATGCATTAATTCAATGTTCAGTGTTGTTGTGGGACTGCAGGTTGGACTTTTGCTTCAGTTTTTAAACAAGACAATTTCAGTGGGAAAGAAGAAGTTTGTTTCAGAACTGAGTGCATCTTTGGACTGAGTTATGAAACCAGAGTTCAGTTTGTGTGTGCATTCTTTAAAACAGCAAGTAAAATCAACCCTATTATAAAATTACACAGATTTTTTTTAAAGAAAACAACAGCTAAAATAACTGACAAACAAGTTATAAGCCTGGAAATTTACTTTTTCCCATATACTTATCTGTTGTGACTCACTGCCTGACTCGTAGAAACAGCACTTACACATGCTATAGAAGTATATACTAATTAACAGTATACATATTTAAATTGATATGAAAATGTAGCGCAGAGGTTTTACAAAACATGAAAAAGCAGCAAGATGTTGCTTTTTATATTAAAAATTGATACATTTAAAAACTGAATTATGTATTACACACATTAAAAATGATAAGAAAAACATTTCTTTTTAGTCTTAAATAATCTTTATGGCCACTGAACAAAATTGTGTATTTTAAATATAAACTGGAACATCTCATGAGTTTTGCAAAACAAAGTGACAAACTGGTATTTACAAAGTACATATTACACAATAAAGTTCAGCATTTTCAGATGTTGAGCTTAAGTTAACATACCTAGATCACTTTTATAAGTGAATAAGATGTGATAAAACTGCAAGACAAAAATTGAGGAGGATGTTTGTGTGCAGGAGTGAAACCACTTCAATGTGCAGGTGGTATAATGGACATCCACAGCTGCAAAAATAGAAACTAAATATTTTTTGAAACGTTTTATTGATGTCAGCTATCATGAATATGTCAATTTATGGGACTCACTCCAGGTTTCAGACTGTTTGAGGGCACAAAACTAAAACTGTGAAACATCGCTGGCTCACCCTTGAGTTTGGATCGAAGTACAGTGTTGTCTCTGGATCGTAGAAGAAACCAGACGTTGAGTCATACATGTATTTGGACGTGTCAGGAATCTCAGAACCTGGAGGAAATGTAGTTGATAAAAAAAAATATATATATTTCAGGAGCAGTGATCTTCAAATGCAGAAAACAAAAATGCACAAGTACATACTGTTTATAACTTAGCTTGTTTAAAATCTGTTGTGATCATTTTCAAAGTTTTGTAAGCATCACTAAACTTTAAGGCTTTATCTTACCATAAACATAAGTCTGTGATACATCGGTGGTGGCTGCTACCTCTGATGAGTCTGTGGGCACATGAACATCAGGCTGGTGTTCCTGACCTGCAGCATGAGCTGCGGGAGGAGCTGCAGCAGGAACTTCTTTATAGTTAGCGCCCTGTGTAAAGTAAAAAGAAAGTTAAATATCCAGATTTTGCTTGAGTTTATTTTTATTTGTTTTGGTTTGCAATCTACCTCGCTCAGGGCGGGGTCGGATGGCATAGCAGGTTGCATGGTCATTAAATCACCTAAAAAGAAGGTAAAAAGAAGTTTGATAGTCAAGGACCTAAAGTGAATTGGGGGAACAAAAACAGTATAAAACTGAACAGTCACCTGGCATTGCAGGAGGGGCAACAGCAGGTGGCACCAGATGTGGAAAGTGCTGTGGAGGTTGTGGCTTTAAATAAAAAAAAAATAAAAAAAATTTAATCAATGAAATTTGGTTTGCATTTATATAAACAGTCCAATGTCATCTTTATAATTATTTGGGTCATGCTCCTGCACAAGTCCTCAGTCTACTTTTTTTATTTGCTGTTCCCAAAAAGGAGAGAACATCCCCCAAACCATAATGTTTAAACTTGCCCTCCTGATACCCATTTTTCTAATAACACCACTAGCCTCCTTATTTTGTTCCTTTGTACCTGTTCCTCCAAAATTATTTTAATTTGAGTGAATTTGTTTTCATTAATATAGCAGCATGAGCATGGCATACATTTTTACAGTTTTATTGAACTAACTCTCATTCTCTCAAACTGTTGAAAGGCTAAATATAGCTTGAAGATTACAACTTACCAGTACTATGTCTGCCTCAGATGTATGCCCAGGAATTAAAGCATGTGATTTTTCATAATCCCTTTTCACCCTAAAACAGAACAAAATCAAAGTAAGTACCATAATTGCCGGTGTATAAGCTGTTACTTTTTTTCAGACTTTAAACCCTGCGGTTTACACAGTGCTGCAGCTAATTTATGGATTTTTATTTTTTATATTTTATTTTGACAGACTAACAAATTGTCTCCTTCCAAAAACATCTTACTTTGTCACACCTGGGTGCTCGTATAGCTACCCAACAAATTCCCCTATTGGGGGTGGGTCTTCGTGACAGAGACTGAGTGAATACTACAGGTATTCATTGCAAGTACCTATCTCAGTCATGGTTAGTATATGCTACTGAATGGACTAACACGTAATGAAAACATACATTACTTAGGCTATGATAAACAGACTAATCATAAAAAAAATAAAATAAAAAAAAACCCCACTGCTTAACAGCTAACTGAAATTATTAACAATAAACGTATATTTTACCTATTGTCCCACTCTGGCCATATGACCAGCAGTCACCCTGAATGTTGTACCATATTCTCACTGAGTCATGAGGACCCACACCCCCACGACAGACGTGCATTGATCAGACTACCCGTTTAGTTTTATAAAATAATAATCTGAAACAGGGAGGGGGGGCTGGGTGAACACAGAGAGCAGGTGGCAGACAGCAGGTGGGTTACCACCGTGCAGATCCTACTGAAAGCCAAAACAATCGCCACCGAAAACAATATTGCAGATTTTAAAAGGTGGACCATCGTGGTGTCTCAGATTTATGAGAGGTAAAGGCATGGCCATCAGGGCACGGACGACTCTGTGTCAGCAACTCCCTCCAACTATAAGGAAACAAAACTTCTGCACTTTCACTCAAGCAAGGATAGCGGAAAATGCCATTGGAAATTTCTTTTCACCATAAGAGTTGTTGAGATATTTATCTAGACTGGTTCTGGGGTTTTGATCTGCTCAGAGATGGGATTATAATGAAATTAATGACCCGGTTCTGACTGGGTTAAACTGAGCCAGCAACTCTAAAGAGAGTCTCCCAGGGATTCAATATCTGTCAAGGAATAGTTTATTTCTGCTTGCTACATCACGTAGGAAGGCTTTTTGAAGCACTGTCTCATACTTCCATACATGTCATAACTACATAAGATCCATTGAGATCACACTTAGTCAAGCCCCCTCATACACTGACAGGTTGAGCTCCCCTTCTGCGAAGGAGGAGTCTAGGACCCTATAAATCAGTAATGACACGGGACATCTGCCCTTCCGGTGGCTGCTCGTGTCGAACTGTCCCGAAGAGGCTAGCACTGTAAACTGTAACCTTTTCCTGCCTTGATTTAATATAATTAATAAAACTTAATTGACGTCTCCTTGATTTATTGTTAGTATGAGTTGCCATTTTTGAGGGTGATTCGAGCCGGGGGAAGTGATGTGGGCTGGAGGCGGGTTTCCAGGTCTGGGCCAGCTCCCGTCTTAACAGTGTTAAAGGCATTGTTTAAAAAAATAATAATAATTTACGGTACTGTACGTGGACATGGGCACCGGCGACCCCCGTGACCCAAAATGGAACAAACGGGTAAAGATAATGGATGGATGGTACTGTACGTAGCCTATTTGTGTATGATACTGGTACATATTTAAATAAAAGTTTTTTAAAAATCTGTGTACAGAAAATATCAAATGAAGTGGAGAAAGGGGGGGGGGCATTCCCCCTTTCCCCATGAGTCATGTGACTTTTGTCATGTGGGATCTACAGAGCAGGAGTCAAGTTAAATTTATTTATAAAGCACATTTAAAACAGCTGTTGTCAAAAGTGCTTAACAATAAAAATCAATGAGAGTAATTAACTGAATATTTACTGTAGTATTTGTGTATAATACCAGTATGTATTCTGCTGTGGTATTTGTGTATAGTACCAGTACATATTCTGCTGTGGTTGACTGCTGGTCACATGGCCTCAGATAGGAATTGTGGGTAAAATTTACTGGTATGTTTATTTTAAATAATTTCAGTTAGCTGTTTAGCATTGTTCTTTTTAGTGATTACCTAAACCACTCTTTTCTTCTTAGTCTAGTTTTTGTATTCATTCAGTAGGCTGTAGGTTATTCAGTAGTCACCATGAGTCAGAGATGGTGTTATCACGAAGACGTGGGGAACACACTGTGTTGAAAAGCAAACAGAAGTCTATGAATGCCATCTGGTGGCTGATTCTTGATCTACAACAAGCACTGCACATCTCTCTCAGTAGCTTTGTACCATTTCTCATATTGCTATGTGGACAACAGCAAGCTTTTACACAAGAGCAGCTTATTTAAGTACAAAATTGTGTTTTAAATTTACTGTGAGCGACTTATACTTGGGTGCGAAATATAGAGGCAATTACAGTAAATGACTGATAAAGGAGCTTCCAAACATGGTAAACTTACTTGGGGTTCATGAGTGGTCGTCGTTCAATTTCAGCACGAACTTTGACTCCATCAATATATAGGGGGTAGATTTTGAGAATTTCAACTAAACGTGTCACTTGCTACAAAAGAAAATGACGTTTTATGCTCAACGCAGTACAAAGCAGGTTTTGCAAAATGCAAAAAACAACTACTTGGGTTATTTGACATCAAAAAGTACCTCGTAGGAGTCCATGTCAACAAAGCAGAAGTTATTTTTTCCAGGTGGTTTTGCCTTCACAAGTCGAAGATTTCTTTCATCTAGATAGGCAAATGGATCCAAACCTTTCAGAATATCCTCCACGGTGACAGTGGGGCTCAAATTCAATAATACCATGGCTGTAAACAAAAAAAAAGGCAAAGAGAAATGGTAAAAAAAAGGAGAGATCTGTAGCTTTTCATAGTTATACAGGTACACACAAGGACCTAATGTACTTTTGATCTCTGTAGAGTCTCCCTGTTTCTCCGTTTCTTCCTCTTTTTGGAGCTGTTGGTCTCCCTTCTGCTGCCAAGTCTCTGGAGTCAGATTAGAGCTATGCTGCCAAGGGCCATGAGACAGCTGCTCCAAAGGATGATTTTGGTTTGATACATGCATCACTCCTGAAGGTCCATCTGATCTGTGCAAGTGAGGGTCCTGAATTTGAGGTACTTTGGGATCTGATTCCTGTTTTAGAAGATGAGAAGAATGCTTAAATGTTGTAAAAAATAATACCAACAATTAAATAATACCAATACCAATACTAATAATAACTATATATATATATATATATATATATATATATATATATATATATAT